TGCTTTAGTCTAGACTCTTCAGTCTTTAAAGTTTCCAGGGACCGCTCAGCTGGACTCCTTGAAAGAGTTATCTAATACTTCCCGTCACCTGCAAATCATACCTGCTCCATTCGGCTTTCATCCTCATTTCTCTTCATGGAAACTGCTCTTAAACTCATCAGAGACCTCCATGGTCTTAAATTCTGTGGACACTCCTCAGCCTTCCTTTTGACCTTTCAGCAGCCTTCAACATACCCATCTACTGCGTGTATTAGTTTCCTGTGGCTGCTATAACAAATTACCACAAACTAGTGGCTTAAAACGTGTTTATTCTCTTGCAGTTCTGGAGGTCAGAAGCCAAAAATCAAGGTGTGACACGCCTGCATTCTCTCTGGAGGCTGTGGGAGAGGGAAAATCTGTTCTTTGCCTCTTCAGCAGTTGTGGCTGTAGGCATTCCTTGACTTGTGGCCACTTTAATCTGCCTCCATGGTCACATTTCCTCCTCCTCTTCTCTCTGTCTCAAATCTCCCTCTGCTTTTCTTTTATAAGGACTCTTATCATTGGATTGATAGGGCCTACTGGGTTAATCCAGGATGATTTACTTATCTCAAAATCCTTAATTTAGTTACATATGCAAAGCCTACCTATTCCAAATAAGGTAGGCTTCACAGGCTTTAGGGATTAGAATGTGGGCATATATTTTGAAGGGCTACCATTCAACTCACCACGCTGGGGTTCTTTCTTCCCTTGATTTCTGTAATGCCGTTCTCTTCTGATTTCCTTCTCAACTCTCTGGCTTCTTCTTCTTCTTCTCCTTTTTCTATATTGTCTTCCTCCTCTACTTGACTTTTTAAAATGTTCACATACATCGGGTCTGGGTTTTAGACCCTCTTCTCATCTCACTTTGTCCTTTCTCCCTAGGCAATATCTTCTAGTCCCATGGGTTCTGTTACATTTACATAAACAACTACTCCAAATGTCTATATCCAGACCTCTCCAGTTCCTGATACATATAGACAACTTACTTAATAGCTCCATTTGAATACTTCAGAGGCATAACAAATTTAATATGTCTAAAATGGAGCTCATCATACTTTTACCCCCACTCCCAAGCACCACCCAAGAAGTTTGCCCTTCCCACAATTCCTTAGCTCAATAAAGGATATTACCATTTACCCGCTTGCTTGTGCCAAAGTTATCCTTGATTTTTTTTCTCATCCTTTCTCCCCACATCCAGTTCATCACCACAAACAACCTAAAGTAGTTTTGGAATCTGCCTACTCTCTTACTGCCATTATCTTAGTCCAAGCAGCTATCATTTTTTTCATCTGGTTAGCACATTAGCTGCCTTACTGGTCTCCCATTATCCACACTCAGTCTGTCCAGTCCATTTTCCATATAGCAGCCTGAGTGACCTCAAAATATGAATGGAATCGTCACTATGCTGCTAAGAACCTTTTTTAATGGCTTTTATTGCTTTTAGCATGAAATCTTTCATGTAGCCTCTAACGGCCTACATGATCTGGCCCTGTCTACCTCTGCAGCCTCATCTCTTCCTGGCCATTCTCCCACTGGTTCTCCCTTGACCTGCCAACTATATACATACCTACCTCCTTTTAGTTCTTGAAAGTTCTTGCCTCTTCTCTCTATTGCTAGCTAACATATTCTTTAGGTGTCAGTGTAAGTGTTGCTTGCGCAGGTAAACCTTTCCTAACCTCCTGGACTTAATCGGATCCCCCCGTTGTTTTCTAATAGACCCCTTTTATAACAAGGATCATAATTATTTTTGAATTATTTGCTTTTCTCTCTCCTGAGAGAATGTAGATACTACCAGAGCAAGGACTGTGTGGCCTGTCAAAGGCCCAGTCAAGCACAGCGCCTAGGGTAAACAGGCACTCAGATACTAATGAGGGGGTGCATCTAGATATGGCTAAAACATGAATCTAGGGGCAGTATATTTGAAGTAAAATAAAATTAAAAATGGTTATCCACAATATTTAACTTAAAAAATGGTATTAACCAGACTGAATGAACTTAACAAAACCGTAGGAAACAGAATAGTAGAGACTAGTTTTTATATCCACTGCTCAATAGACTTTTTCCAGGTAATTCAGTCAAAAGTCCCAAATCTCATTTAGGTTCAGAGAATAACTAGTTTTTGCTATGAGCATGTTGTACCTGAAAGTTGTGGGTTGAACTGATGAAGCATGTATTCTAGAAATATTCTAGATACCTGAAAGTTCTGAAGTCCCTGTGACTGGGAACCAAGGCCCCTATGTAAGCCAGATGTTTTAGACATGCACCCTTGACCATACTAAAATGCTAATCAAATGCTTGGCAAGCTTTAGCACCTCTGCTTTGACTATGAATAGGGCTACATGCTTTCCCATCTTCAGCCAAAATGACAACTGTTATTTTCCATTTTCAGCATGTTTGCCATGTATATAAGAGAGAAAGTGAGGTGGAAGAATAAGTTTCAAATAGTTCTTAGATTTCATAAGGTAATATAGACACGGACCAGACATAAACTCATTTGTCTGCTGTTGAGGTCTGATTCTAAAGAACTTCTCAAGCAGTGACCTACTTCAAACTGCATATTTGCCCTCTTGACTTATGAGAGGAAAGATATGGCAACTGGTAGTTTGTGTGGCAGAGCTAGTTGTCATTGTTTATTGAATACCTGTATTAGTTATCTATTACTATGAACAACTTATTCCAAAGCTTAGCAGATTAAAACAACAAACAGTTATCTCACAGTTTCTGTGGGTCAAGAATCTGGGAGCGGCTTAGCTGGGTACCTCTATCTCAGAGTCTCTCATGAAGTTACAATCAAGCTGTCAGCTGGGACAGCTGTCTCATCTGAAGACTTGATTGGGGAAAGATAAACTTCTAAGCTCACTCTCATGGTTGTTAATAGGATTCAATCCCTTGTCTCATGGGCCTCTCCATAGTGTAGCTGACAACGTGGCTGCCATTCTGATTTATGTTCCTCCTTATGTAACCAAGCATTTTCCCCATCTCTGGAAGCTTTGGGGGTATTCTTTTTGTCCCCACTGCACTACAGTATCATAATGATGTGCCTTGATGTGAGTGAGGGTCAAGTGAAATAATGAACGTGAAAGGTCAAAATAGGATGGTTAGACAAACATTGTGCTCTCAGGGGGCAAGCATGGTGGATGGCAAGCTGGAGAGGAGCTGGGAAGAGAAAGAAAATGTTACATAAAACTCTGGAATCAGGAAAGTCAAGGAAGTTATGGGCAATGATCGTATCTTCCCTGGTGTCTTCCCCAAGTGGGAAGGTTCTCCCCAAAAGCCTTATGAAGGAGTTACCAGTCTCCAGCAAAATCTCCCCATTCCTACAACTTAGTCCCCCACTACTAAAGTTGAGAGACACATTAAGCATCAGTCACTGTCACCTAGTAGACTCACCAACCAGTGTTGTTCTTGAACTAACCCAGCAACTCAGGTTGCTTAACCCCTGAATCTGGTACTTTTTTTGGTCTTAGTATTGCATTGTCTGGATGGTTTTTAAAGTGAGGCAGGATAGATTATGTGCCTTAAGTCAGAACATAGATATGAAAACAATTTGTAAATTGTTAAACACTATACAAATTAAGTTGTTGAATTGCTGCTATTTAGAGAAACCAAACTTGTCAATTGTGTGGAAAATGCGGGTGGAATGGTATAAAATATAAATCAACACTGTGTAGCCTACTATAAGAGAACCACTTTCCTGATATTGGCAGCCCCACATCTCAGTATTTTCAACTTTTCTAAAGTGTTTGTGTTAAATTGAGTAACATCTCCATGTTGAGATTATGGTAATTTTCCATTCCCTTTCTCATGAAGGGGTACATCCTGCAATTTGCTCTGTGCTTCTCCTTGCTCTTGAATTAGAAGAATTATTCTCTTCTTTCTTCTTTTGCCTTCTCTCTTTTCTTATGGTCATGTGCACTCAGGAATCATTTTGGGGAGAAAGGCAGATGTTTTAGAAAATTGAACTCTGATTCTCTGTGGATGATTTCCATATCGATTAGGACAAATCACTGTGCTGGTTATAAACAAATGTCAGATGAGTCTTTATAACCTGCTACCCAGCTAGGATCAGGACCTTTAAGAGTCTCTGTGCCAAGGAATACACCCTACTTACTTACGCAGTTGCCCTGACATTTAGAACAGACTTGCTCCTATCGTTGTTATGCTGCAAATAAAAGTTGTAAAAGTAAAGAGTTGTTTTCCTCCCTTCTATAGCCCTTTGGAACTATTATGCAGCTGGATTTGGATTATAAAAGCAACTGTTATAATACAGGAACATTGGAAACACCCCATAAGACAGGATGGCCATGTTAACATAGAAATTAGAAAAACCAAATGATGGCTTATCATGATGTTACTATAAGAATGGATACTTGGGAAGGGGGAAAGAATGGATACTTGGGGAATATGTGTGTGTCTATGTATCTGAATACACATGGGGAAGTCAGGAAGTTTATATGCACCACATTGTTAATCATTCTTAACTCTGGTTGGTTGGACAACTGGTGACCTTAACTTTCTCCTTATTGCTTATTAAAACAGTGAACATGTATTATATTTTGAAATATGTTCTAAAGAAAAACAAGCTTGAAAATCAGAATAAGGGGCAGTTAGTTACAATGTTCATTAAGAACGCATTTTCTTTGCCGATTTAAATGTTAAGGTAGCCATGCAATCTTAATTAATTTCTAGAACCTACAGAATTTGCCTTGATAAGATTCCTCCCATTCACACACACACTGTTCTAGAAAGGCTTACTAACCTTAGACTTTTTTTTCCTTTAACTCTTAAAGAAGTATACATCTATATAGTTGACAACTGCAAGATATGGTTAGTTTATAACAGGTACAGACTAACAGTTTCTGTTCACCTGTAGTTAATAGCTTTGACTTAGAACTTCTGAAGCTTATGGAAGAATCTGGAAAATATAGGTTTTCGCTTCTTGATCCTTGTAACGTTTTATCCTTTCCTTTTCTCTTGTTTAGATTCTATCATAATGAATGGATCCAGTGTGGCCAACACATCACCCAATGTAAAATCCAAGGAGGAACAGGGCTTAAATGGGCATGATGAGAAGGAAAACCCATTTGCAGAGTACATGTGGATGGAGAATGAAGAGGATTTCAACAGACAGGTAAAAAAAAAGTAGAATGACAATGATATATGTAATTCGACAGCTATAATATTTTACTTTCAGGTTGTTACAAAAAAAATGAGTTTGCTGGCTTTAAAATAACTTAAAAATACATGGAAGCCTGATCTGAGCTTACCAAGAAGCATCTTCAGCTGGTTAGAGCCCAGAGGACAGTACTTTGGAGGAAGGTACTGATATTTTTCTACCACATTGATTAAAAGAGGATCTAATGCCATGGTAATCCGGTGTAGACTTCTGGGAAGCAGCAGCTTTGTACAGACAGGCCGGCTTAACATGCCCCAAATAGGAACTGGGGACTGGCAAGATATGAGCCTGAGAGAGAGAGGTGTGCTAGATGGGGGAAGGCTAGACTGCTTCACCAAAGATTCAGCAATAATTCATTGTCTTATATCTCTGTGACATTAACATCCCAAGGTAAGCCATTCCAGGTAGAAGTGCGACCACACAGTCCCTTCCGTGGTGGTTTTCTGTCACTCCCAGGGAATTTATCAGATGAGTAGCTGAAGGATAACAGGAAGTCTAGCCACTGGGAAAGCAGAGAACTGAAGGTGGAGGCAAAGGGTTTCCTTTTAACCAGGTGACAGAAAGTATTCATATCCCATTTGGGGACATTACATGATGAATAGTTACATGGCCATATCCAGCATGGGAGATGGGAAATATGGTTTTAACTGAACACCCTGGGGCTGTGGCAAGAAGAAAACAAGCTTTGGTTGGGGGCATCTATCAGTTTCCACTCCAAGTGCCTCATTGTGTCATGATTTGTGTGAATAGCTCATAGACCATGCTTCCATCACGCCCCTGTGCTTAGGTAACCATTTTTAAGGGTTGTGCCTGTAAATAGGGTATATTTAATAAGGGGGATACACTGTTACGCTTTGGGGAGCATCAGGGCAGATCTTGAGCAGTCACGTGAAACCTTGTGGCTTAGAAATATTTTGTAGTTATTGGTTTTTAAATATTTCATAACCTTCTAATCTACTTTAGTTTTTTAAAAAAGCATGGCTAATTGTAATGTTAAAATACTATTGTTAAGTCTTGGTACCAGTGACTTTTCCTTTGAATTCACGAGATTAACTGTATTGGCTAGTTTGGGTGATTACTTTTGCTTGACCCTCTCCAGTAGTGGCATGAGTAAGCTATGAATCTGTCACCACATAGCCTGTAGGAAAAGGGTTGGCCAAATGCGAAATAGGAGACCTGTTAAAAATCACACGATCTTCAGAGTGGACGTACTGTTTCCTAAGAGTCAACGATGTCTACAAACAGTTATAAAATATCCTAGATATGTGTTGCTTTAGTTTAGGACAATCTTTAAGAAATACAGAGTTGTTTAAATATTCATATTATTATTTTGAAAGAAGACTACATAGATGACATCATTTTCTATTGGTATGCCAAAAAGTGTTTTTATATCTTTCTAAGGTTCGGAAAATATTTTTCTCCCTTTGGGGCCTCATTACCAGAAAAGTGGGCCAGAAGCTGAGAGTTAGTTTTGATTTAATTTCCACTATCCAGGAAGTGGTCTAGTTATATAGTTCCTGTACCTTTTTCATAGTTGTAAAATGGGAAATCTAAGAAGAGCTGTGTCTTAACAAGACTGGGAAATGAATTTTAAACTTTAAAAATGATTTTTTGTAAGTGCCATATGAATGGAAAATAGCTGTGTCACATGTTAGAGATCTTAGAAGATCTATGAAGACCTGGAATTTCTGCTGTTTTGAGTTAACTATTTCCTCAGTCTTATTGTTGACAGAATTTAGTTGAAAAAATTCAAATTTATATTTTCTTTAGCCAGTCATTAGAAGCATCTTAATTCTTAGTAGATCTCATACAAGATCATTCTTAATTGCGGAGTAATAACCTCTGAAAGAAAGAGGTGGAGCAAAAACTGAGAAGGATGAGTCCTAATGGGGCCCTAAGTCTGAGCGCCTCACCTTTGCTTGCTAGGTGGAGGAGGAGCTGCAGGAGCAAGACTTTTTGGACCGCTGCTTCCAGGAGATGCTGGACGAAGAAGACCAAGACTGGTTTATTCCCTCACGAGACCTGCCTCAGGCTGTGGGGCAGTTGCAACAACAGTTAAATGGACTGTCTGTCAGTGACGGTCATGATTCTGAAGATATTTTGGTAAGAGCCATATGTGGTTCCACATGTGACATAGTGAAAAGAATACAGGATTTGGAGTCACAGACTTTCTTTCTGGCCCTACAACCTTGTGAAAATCTCTGGAGCTCTCCAAGCCGCTATTTCTTCACTCTTGACATGGCATTGATAAATGGGTGCAGTGAAAATGCATTTCACTTCATAAAGCACTGAGAAAATGTTAACGTTGTAGCATCATCAACGTTCATTTTCCCCAGTGGGCTTTTCAAAGTAGAATTGGGATAAATAAAGATAAAAACATGGAAAAGGTTTGGTTTCAAATTATCATTTGCTGCTATCCTTTTCTTTTACTGCCTCTTAAATCTGTATTTACAGTTTTGAACGATGCTGTTACAGAAATTGTTCATTTTGGAGGGAACATACTCCTAAGAGGCTATTTTCCACTTAAAATTAGAAGACCAGATAAATGAATTCTCTGCCTTCCATATTTACTTACGGAATTCTGTGAGTGATTTAGTTCTCACACAACTCATGTTCTGAATGATTGTGCCCTGCACATTGCTAAGGTGCTGGGTATTCACGAGAGTAGAGAACCAAAGAGAGTACAGCAAGATGGAAAAAATTTTTAGATAGATAGATTGATTGATTGATTGTGGAATTCTCTGGTTTGATGGAATTCTCTGCTTTTCATTGAGGTAAGGTACTCAATGGAAAAATTATTTTTGGAGTCAAATTTAAAAGCCCCTAATGAAAGCATCATGAAGGGTAGCAGGAGTCTAAAGCAGGTAGGAGAAAACGAGGTTGGCCAGGGATTAGTACGTCAGGAGCCACTGAGAGCAGCCAGCAATAACATCCTGAGTTATAAGGAATTCTATTTTTTTTCTCTCCCTAAGGCTGAGAGGAAGGTACTGGTAATAATGGAAGCAGGGAGGAAATGTTTTAAAGTGCTGCTTGCCGTGGGATTTATTATCTCTTGGTTCTTATTTCAGAGCAAAAGTAACCTGAACCCGGATGCGAAGGAATTTATTCCAGGAGTGAAGTACTGAGCTGACAGAAAAGCTTTGAGGAGGACTCGTATGTCCCCACATCTGGGGACAGCGCTGCACGAAAAGGCAGAGCTGAAGAGGGGGGCAGGGTGGGCAAGGGGTGCATAGAGGGGAAGGGAAACAGGGGTTTACCTCGACACTGTGACTGGAGTAACTAAGGTGTTCAGTCTTATTCTGCAAGCCTCTGGATAGTTCTCCTTCATTCTACTGACTTTCATTTTGAGCAGTTTCCTATTATTATTATTATTATTATTATTTGCAGCTTTTTGGCTTTTTGAGTTAAGGAAATTGCAATTTTTTTTCCCTTCATTAGGAATGTTCTGCTGTGTGTATTTAAACAAAATAAGCTGACCAAGAAAATCTTGGAGTTTACAAATGCCCTGCTCACCTTACTGTGTACTTACAAGGGCATTAAATACCTGGAGAACTACTTATCGAGTCTGTTAAGCTGGATGGATAGAGGGACAAATGGAAGAAGCAAGTGTTACAAACCAGAGTATGCAGCTCAGCTTCCCCAACCCCTGGGGATATCCTGTGATGAACTGGGATTACCAATAGCTTGCTGAGCCCAGGTCTTCCTACCTTGAACCCCATTCAAGAAAACAGACTTAAAGTACTGGTTTATGGTAACACTTTTGGTGGCTGATGAAAGTTGTAAATCAGAAGGGGAGGATTGTGATGGTTATTGTCACTTGAGTCATACAGTCACTGTCGGCCTACTCTTAAGTCTCTTTACAGCTACCTATCCCTTTCCATCCCAAAGCTACTCTGATTTTAAGAGAAAATATTGTTACCAAAGGGGTGTGAGAAGCATGCTGTGCTGGCCATCCACTTCAGCCTGGAGAAGTCATCCTTGAATCCTGTTAGCTGTGTCTTAAATTTATTTTGACAGTTTTTTTTCCCAGCCCCATGAAGACTTGGTTTTCCTGGTAGCTTACTTCCCTTAGAAAGGTTTATGCACTTTTATAAATAAATATATTTTTCAGAACACTAGCAAGAAGCTAAGTTCACAATTTGGATGCTTCTCCCACTATTCAAGACTGCAGAAAAGCCTAGGAGACTGAGTCCCACTTGACCCAGGTGATTGTGACCCACCAGGATAGTTTCAGCGGCTGTAAAATTTTGTCGTTCCCACATGCCCAGCTTTGCGAGTTTTCTAGGATGGGCTCTCTGGATACGTTCCTTTTGTCTTTCCTTCATATAAGTGACAGGTTTTTTGTTTGTTTGTTTGTTTGTTTATTGATACTCATAAGGAACTAAACTGATTCCAGGAGCTGCCTTTGTATGATAGAGATGTAGATGGCATAGTTCAGTCTAAAAGAGCATGTCCAGTCCTAGCCATTCTCCTAAGATGAGGACTTGCAGAGGTCTGTGGGAAGTGGCTTCTGTATGACTGCTGCTGTGTTATGTGATAAGCCTATCAGGAAAAGAGCATGTAACTTGAAATAAAGTCTGTGTAAATTCAGTATGTGGATGTGAGAGAGAGGTTGGAAGGAAAGGACGAGGGTCTGGAAAGCTCAAGAATTTCTCCTTTTTCTTATGAGTCCCTTGACTTTTTGATCAGCCACAGCCTAAGGTCAGATTTAAAATACGAACCTACATCTTTTCCTCATATGAGTCTATAGGATGGCATTATTCAGAAACTGGCCTTCCTTTTTAGGTCACACATCATAGGAGAGTAGCTTAGGGAGCTTGTATTGCCAGATGTGCACATTAATTCCCAAAGCCTCTACCTCGAGAGAATAGAACTCTGACTTATTTTCAGGGAAGGCTATGAATAAAGAAACTTCTTTATTCCAGGTTCGCTTTCAGCTTCGGTTGTTGCCTCTAATAAGGAAAGGGCCTTGGATGTACAGAAAAAGAAGTTTCTCTTTCCTGGGGCTGCTAAATCATCTCCATTAGCTTATCCAAGCTCAGAATTCCATAAAGACTGTTGAAAATGTGTTGGGATTGCAGAAAGAGCAATTTTCTAGACGTTATCACAAAGAGTACAATGGATTCTTGTGTGGCTCCCAGGCCAGAAAGTGCTACAGGGATCCAGATCTAGCCATTTCTTCATCCTGAAGGCGGCTTGCTCTTCTGATACCGGGACAGGCTAAGATGCTTAGTTGTCTATCTCAGACTTTTCCTCATAAGAGAGGTTCTGGGTGCAAGCCAGGCTGCACACCCTTACCCTTTAAAAGTGAGGCTGGTATTTATAAGTGTTCATTTTGGTGTTGAATTTAAGTCGCTATTCTGTTGAAACTTTTTTTGGCAACTGGAAGTTTGAGAATTTGTATAGATACAAAATGTGTTTTTTTAACAGTTGCCAATTCTGGTTGGTCCCAGTATTAGCTTATTAGTGATTGATTTCTTATTTTTGTGATTATTGGACTCTTTTAAAACTCCAAGATGAATATGATCTTATCTCTTGCTCTTCAAGAGGAAAAACATAAAAAGAAATGCCTTTTCAGCTTCTCCAGGCCTTAGAACTGCAGCAGAATACTTGATGGATATAGCCAAGCCTGAGTACCTGCAGCTTTGGGTCTCTGAGCCAGTTTCAGACTATAGCAGTTGACTTTTGGGGATCATAGAAGGTCAAACCAACAAAAGGTCATAAAGAAAAGGCTGGACCTTTGTAGACCTTCTTTTGTTTCCGAAGTCAAAACAGCTGAGACCTTTTTAAGGTTATAATGCTGTGGCTTTAAAAATGTTTTTAGTGAAACACTAAGCATTTTTTCAAATTGTGTATTGCTACAATGTCAAAGTTTTGTCTTGATTTTGGAGAGGCTGGGAAGTAAGGAGTCAGTCATATACTCTGGTAATTATATGTCAGAGAGGAAAGTCGTGAAGAAGTAGCCAAGGAAATAGCTTGACTGAATCTTATTATAGTAGTGCTGCTGCAAACACGGCATAGAAATGTCAGGAGCCCAGGGATCTACTGATGATGATTGGAGGGGGCAAGTGTTCTTCTATAAGGGTACCAGCATTACAGGTTAATGATGTTTCTTGGTTTAGGTGATGTCAAGGTATGGGAACAGGTGGAAAAGGCCTGACATTTGACCAAGATTTGGAGATGTCCACCTATTGGCAAAGACTGTATATCCCCTGGTATTCTCCTTGGGGATAATGCAAACCTCATTAGTTTGGGAGGTGGGTGGAGAGAACAGGAGAGTTGACCTAGATCTGGTGTGTATCAGCGACCTTTATCTCCTGCCTCTGCTCACAGTTCCCATGTGAATCATTTCCCCCTCACTGCCCACAGGGATCCTTAGTTATGGTGCCACCACCCTGTGTAGTTCATAAAGTACTCTGCTGCCATCTGAATTTCATCCATACTTGGTTAGTAGCAACTTTGAAAGGTTTTTTCCCCTTTGTTTTTAATCTTGTCTTTATTTCTCCCATCTTGAAGCTACAATTGGTGACAAGGGACAGGGCAGTAGGAGGCTGACCCAAGGCAACACTTGAGTTTCCTGCTTGCTACTTGACCTTCTGCCCAACCTCCTACTGCTGTCCCCAGTCTAGTTTTAAGGGGGATTATAGGAATACCCCAGTTGAGTACACTGATCTTTACAGGGTGTCAGCCAAGAGATTCACCACCCAACCCCCAGGGGACAGAAGAGAAACCTGCAAAGGGACAGATGTACCATCTTTATTACAAAAGAAAAAGCCCCCTTAGATTTTGTTGTTACTAGGTATCTCATTTTTGAGATATGCTGAGCTTTGATCCCCAATCCTACCTTTTTACTGGCTATGTTTTAAGTTAAATAATGAGAAAAATTTCAAAAATTCTAGGCATTTACTGTAAAACAAAACTGTTTTCACTCTAACTCAACACTACATGATAATCTTGCCCTGTTAATTGTGAACCTTCAGAAATGTTTAATGTTTGATGGGTGGTTTGGGAGGCAGGGGCTGTTTTTTTAAACAACTTTATTGAGGCATATTTCGCATATCATAAAATTCACCCATTTCAAATGTTCAATCCAGTGATTTTAGTAACTTTCTTGAGTGGCACAGCTATAACCATAACTCAGTTTTACAACATCTTCATCCCCCCTCAATAAGATCCTTCATGCTCATTTGCATAATAATCTCGGTAAATCACTCATTTTTATGTTTGTAAGTTTGCCTTTTCTGGATGTTTTATCAATGGAATCATACAAGATGTGGTCTCTTGCATCTGGCTTTTTTAACTTAGCATATTTTGAGGTTCATCCATGATGTATAAATTGTATTGGTAGTTTGTTCCTTTTTATTGCTGAATAGTATTCCATTGATAGATATACCACATTTTGTCAGCAAAGTCTTTTAAACTTGAATTTCAACCTCCCATGGTCTAAAGGAACTCTCAGAACATAGGACTCTAGGGGAAGCTGCTGTGCATGTCTTATCAGAACCAGCTTTGTCACCAGAAGTTCCACATGAGGAGCCTGAACTGCAGAAATTTTTATAATTTTACAATGTTTTTATAAGGAACTTTTATGCTGTCTACATGTCAGGACTTTTGAAGCATCTGGTAATAAGTATGAGCATGTATTTGAGTGGACAAGAAAGTGAACCATCAATACTGTGTTGGAGATTTTTTCTTCCCTGACTGGATGGGGAATCTGAACTTTCTAAATACAGTATCATATCCATTACAGAGCTGAACTTGTATTAAAGATCACGCTGCCTTTGTTGGACAGATTTGGAGGAAAGGAGGATCGCCAGCAGAGGGGGTCGAAGAGAAAGAAAGAGAGTGGAGTTTATGGAACAAGAAGCCCCCACAGGGTCTGTGCATGGCCAAGCTCTTGGTGCAGGTAGTGACATGCTGATGGTGGCCAGGGGCAGCTTAGCACCTCCAGCAGACCCAGGTCTGACTTTGGATCTTTATTCCTGTTTCACAAGTGTTTAAAAGCCGTTTTCCTCCCCTGCTCCCACCCCTGCAAATAAACACTACATGGTAGTTATTAATACTTCTTTGCAGGAGGAGCAGGGCTTTAAAATTGAAAATAATTTTCATAAAAATATCAAAAATGGAAAAAATTTACTTTTCTAAAAATTTGAAAAACCAAATGGCAGCTGTTGAAAATCTCAATAAAATGAGAATAAAATGCATTTGCTGGCAGTGGTACCCTTTTTTCTACATTTGGGTCATTATATATCATACTGCAGGTGGTGTGCTTGTGGTATGTGAGATTTTTGTCTCAAGATTGATCATAGTTTTAGTTGAATACTTTTCCATTCTAAATAGCATTACACAGTAGTAAAAGCATTGTCTTGGAAGTCACAGACCTGATTGAATTTCACCTCTACCATGTCCTTTGTGCCTTTGACCTGAACTCAGCTTATTTGTAAAGATACCATACCTCCCTCCTGGGGCTAATGTGATGTTAGACTGAATATAATTTCAAAATACTGCCTGGCACATAATGGGCACTTAATATATGTAGCAATAGTGGCAATGTGTACAGCTTTGAACAAAAAAGGCAGTAACAAAATCCTTGGGCTTTAAGAGAAATTGGAAAACTTACTTCTATTTCTGGGCAAGTCCTAGGTACCAGAGCTACTGGGTAACAAGGAGACCTTGTCTCTGCTGTTGTGATTAGTTTGATTATCCGTACTTACTCAAGTTTACACCTAGCTGATTCTGAGGGGGCGTTATCATATGGTAAAAAGATCATGGGACCAGACCACAGCCCATGGGTTTTGTTCTGAGTGCTCTCATTTCTTTGCCTCCTTCCTAAAGCCAGGAGGGAAAAAAAAATCTGAACTGATTTGCCAATTTATAGCTTTTTGAGATACTAGTTATATATATATATACAGGGACCAAACTATTCGCATCCTTAAAGATGTGAATGGTGTATTCATTCATTTAAAAGAGTTCATTAAACTTAATGTTACAGAAAAGCACAGATATTATAAATATGCAGTTCTATAAAGGTGTAAGGGTGTACCCATTTTTAATCCTTAGAGTACCCATCATGGCGAGGTGACATTCAATGTTTGTTGAGTAAATGGTACAGGGAAGGCTGTGCTGTCCACAAGATCGCACAGGTAGATTAAAGCAGTGCTGCCTTCATCCAAGTCCAGTTCCTGTTCCAAGTTCTCTTGCCTTGGTAGTATGGAATCCCATTATTTGCTCCTGACATCTTATTAGGGAAGATTCCAGTTCCTGTTCCAAGTTCTCTTGCCTTGGTAGTATGGAATCCCATTATTTGCTCCTGACATTTTATTAGGGAAGATTCTAAGTTTAAATTTGAAGGGAGAAACTCATCAAAAATCACAACTTCCTGTGTAACAGAGCCTTGCTAACTGGAAAATAAGGTACCTCATCACATCTCCTTTGGCCAAAAGAACTAGAAACATCTGACCTTGTGCACTTTAATGTTGCCTTCATTTTTTCTAATTGAAATTTATTCAACTCATGTTGACTAAAAAATTCACAACATGCTCCTTGCTCTCTTTTAAATCCTCCACTGTCCAGTTGGAATAAAGCCTAGCAATGGTAAGGGAGATGACGGTATCCTGAACGTAAGTAAGTCTCTGAACTCTTTACCAATGGTTTTATATTCTAAATTTAAAATATTGTTTGATCCTGAGATCATGTAAAAAACTCCAAAGCTCACTGCTCATTAGTAACAGTGTTATTAGGACAATGAGCTATAGCAAAGGCACCTCTGCTGTGTGTTCCTTTTGCCAATTTTTCACCCGATGATGTATTGGAGAGTTGCTAAGAGCTAGACCCCACTGGTTTGGACCATAGCTACATGCAGATGGCTGGCTGGCTGGCTGTCCCTTCAGAAGAGACAACGCTAGAGTTATTGCTCAAAGCTCCAGCTTGCTATGTTGGGCTAGAGCTGATGGAGTGAGAGCTGCTGCCATTTTGTTCTACACTGTGAATTGTCACTTGAGAAACATCTAGACCCCTTTCAAGGGCCTAATCAGAACTCAAAAGCTATAGGGTAGAGCTCCATCAAGTGCAGATCCTGAACCTATGCAGTGGAAATTACATGAGGTATTTAGCAGAAAAGAAAATTCCCCGTGTCATCCTTGACCTATTAAATCGGACACCTTATAGAAGAGAAAGAAAAATGAGTTTAAAAAAAGCTTTAGGATAATTGACGCACATAAGTTTGAGAACTGACGTACAGGATGTGGTCCATGCCCTCAAACAGCTTACACTCTAAACTCCTACAGAGGCTGCCACTGTGTGTCAAGACTGTCCTCAGTCTTCATTAAGCAGCGTGGGCAGCAGAAGAGGAAGCTCAGGACTTGTCTTGACCGATCAAACTACAGCATCCAGAAGACAGGAATCATGTGTTTTCACTGCCATTCATCTTTCCCAGGGCCACACCACAAATGCAAAGTGCTGTACTGTAACCAGAGCCAGGCTAGTAGTCCCAGAATAGGTAGGCCACCTAGTGTGTCTAGTGGGCCCTAGATCTCAGCTATCCTCGTAATCTCTTAAGAGCTCATTAATGCAGAAAAATTGCAAGTATGCTCTTTACCCTTAACTACCAAATCCAGTGAGGTAAAAATTCTCCCAGACTAGAATTGTACTGTCCCCTAAATTCTACTGGGACTATCAGGAGAGGGTGTGATATGTCTGTTCTTCCCAGTGATGTTTTCCATGGAAAATATTTAATTCCACTGAAAATGCTTAGCAGGGATCAATGACCACTTTGACAGGAGGAAACTGAGGTCAGAGATTAACTGGCAGCAGCAGCCTATCCGTATACTAACATGGCAGGGAGGAGAGGCACACAGATAGATTATACACCCAATTGCATCGTGGGCAGACTGCAGGCCAAGCACTTGGGGACAGGGCTGTAAACCTTGGGCTAAAACCATTCCTGAGACCTCTGGGGTACCTGCTGGTACGTGCGCTGTACATTTACACAGCAAGTGTGCTTCACAACACAATCCAATTGGGGAGTGAGTAAAGTGCGTTTATTTTCTTGTATATGTTTTTCCTCTTTGTAAGAAAAGGGAAAGAAGTAAAGGCCTCCTCCTTCCCAGCACGCAACGTCCACTGGGCTTAGGAGTGGGTAGAGCCAGGATCAGCCCCCTAGGAGAAGGTATAAGAGTAGAAGGCAATGGCATTGAGACTGTAGTCCATGGGGAGGAGGTGCCCGATGTGCCTCGCCCCTAGGCTGGCCCCGCCCAGGGCAGAGGAATAAAAAAAAAGGTGAAGCGAGAAGGAGTTCTGAGCTTGGATCTCTCTGCCCTGGGTCAGCGCTAATAGGAAACCTGGAGAGAAAGAATGCAGAGGACAGAGATGAGAGGAGACCAGCAGCCTGTGGGGGAGACCAGGGAGAAGGTGGGGACAAAGAGGAAGGGACAAAGAGGAAGGAGAGAAGAGGCCTAAGCCCTGAGGCATTCCTACGGAGGTCCCAGAGGGGCCCACATGCCAAATCCCCAACAGACGGTGCACCATGGCACATGAGCCCAGGAACGGCTGTAAGGTACTAGAGCCAGCTGCCCCCAGCACCCGATGTCAGGATCTCCAAGGTAGCAACAGGGGTCCTTGAGCTACTTCAGGACTATTAGGACTGTACTGACTAGGGCTGTCACCACATGCTGGTCAGAAGCTCTGATTTTCAGTTAGATTTGTCTTTATTTTTTAAAAAATGGTGCTTCTTTAGTAAGTTACTTAGAAAAGAACATCTTTTTAAGAGTCCAAGGAAGCTAGATGGGCTCCCTGGCAGAGCGAAGATTGAGAGCCTTGGCCTAAGGTATCAGTGGCCTGTCAGCTTTCCCAAGTCACTACTTTTCCAGCTCCATCACTCATCCTTGCCAGTCCCCTCCTGTTCCCACCCCATACTCACCTTCCTTCAGCAGCTCCCAGCTCTTCCACACAGAGCCCACACACAGGATGGGGAGACCCA